GTTTCTCTTCTTATTCCATCACTATTGAAATACATATATATTACCAAAGCTGTAAATACATGTCTACTTAGAAGATGCCGAACACAATCGCCCTGGTTTATCTTGTAAAGATGGATTCTTCAGCAAAAAAAAAAAAAAAAATCAGCATTCATTAAAGCCTTGGAAATGTGAAAATTATACTTTAAAACAAAGAGCAAAGTTTTAAACAACAGTATCCTTTTAAAATTGAACCAGCCAATGAAGAAGAGCCACTTTGTACGTAGGTGGCTTTTCCTATGATAGCAATGTAAGGAGCAAGTCAAGCAACAGCTGACAAGGAGGTCAAAAAAGGACAGTTCATTTTCTGGGCATCGGGGGTAAATATAACTACTGTAATTCCCAAAAATAAAAGGTAAGCAAAATTAAACTCATACACAGGATCCACCATCTTGTTGTTTTCTTGCCTTGCCCTCTTCTGCATGCTACTTCCAGGATGCAACTAAACAAGTGGGCAAACAATATTAATTTAAAGAAAAAAATAGAGGAATCACATTTTAACAAAACAAATTTGGACAATATGACTAAGCATTTAAACAAACAATAATATCTGGGTGGAAATGGTCTCTAAGGCAAGAACATTGGTTTCTGTTTAGTTTTGGGGTTTTGTTTAGTAGAACAAGGAAAGTGGATATTGGGACTGGATACAAGGTTCCATATGAACCAGAGAAAGCAGAAGTATTTGTAACTTTTAAAATATGAATACAGAAGATTCAAACTAGAAATACCACAAAGTGTGAAAGGAAAACCAAATTTCAAAAAAGCAACAGGACCCTTACTGCAGTCACAGGTGTCATGAAGAGGGAAAAGATATAAACAATACATATATCTAATGATCATGACACCATCAAAAACTTTTTAAAAATAAAGAATGCTTAACTCCAACTACATCTCCATTACTGAAAAAACTCAAGAATCTTTTTTTCCAATCAAGATGACCAAAGCAAGCAGTCTGATTTACATTACAGGAGAAATAATATGTCTTTGGGGAAGAAGTAGCCTCCAAAATCCTTCTCAGCTATGGACAAGCCAAAATTTAGAGCTTACATCAACGAGTAAGGGGAAAAAAAAAAAATGAGCAGGCCTCCAACAATCTATGTAACCAATAATAATTTGACAGCAGGGGGGAAAAAAAGTAACATCCCACTTTGTCAAACACCCACAAGATCCTAAACATATAAACACAACAGAGGATACCTTTTCAAAAGAAGAAAAGACTCATTGAGGCTGGGCTTCCTTCACTAAATTCCAAAATCTCAAGCATCATCTAGAAGGTGCAGAGACACAGGTAGGGAATGAAGAAGTTACATACACTACCACACAGCTCCCAGTTATAAAGAGGGAGACAAGAGAGCAACAAACTGATTTTCTCCTCACACCAGAAGTTCAGCTCATGACCAGAGGACCCGGTTTCTGCCTCCAGTGTTTCCCTTCCACCACTTGAATAAGTCAGAGGATGGGCTTGTGAAATCCCAACAACCCTCTGCAATAAGCCCATTGCCACACTGACCTTTCCCCCTCAACTTTACAAAAACGGCTTCCTCCTGTTTCCAGCTAATGCTGTTAGCCCTGAGCTCAAGCTGTGCTGCTGCCTGGAACATTTCAGCGCCACTGACATGCAACTATAATGACCCTGCCAGCATGTGTGACAGAATTTGTTTTTGCGTTAAAGATATAATATTGTTTAGGTTCAAAGTAAAGCACTCACAAGTCGGAAAGTTTCCTGTGCGTCTTTAATTCATTCCCTGGTGTGTTTATTCCCATTATCACCATGTTTAACTACAGGAGCACTTAGCATGATTTCCAGTAGGACCCTTACTTGTTCAGCATAGTGGGTGGACGGTACTCCAACAATCAATCAAGGCTAAGCAGGGATAAGGAAATCCATATGATCGCTTCTCCAGTTGTTGCAGAAGTTGGAAACAGTAGGCAAGACTACCAAGGAGAGGACAAAGAACACAGTATTTATGAGATTTTTGTACGTCACTGCCTCACTGCTATGTGAATATCAGGCTAAAAAAAGGTACTTGTTGCTAGACATTAACTGCATGAGAGAACCCAATATGACAAAGTGCCCAGCACTCATAATGGCCACTGAATATAGACATCCAACTCACATTATTTTCCAGAATAACCAGCACAGCATGGAGGCAGGTGAATTTGAATTCTAATTCTGTTCCACCATTGATTATTTTCTGTGACCCCAGATCACATCTTGTTTATTACACTAATTTTACCGATGGGAAAACAATATTCCCTCATCTCAAAGAGGTGCTGAATCAATGTTTGTGAGCCATTAAAATAATACATTAAGAAACACACTCAAAGAAAAGCATGCAGAAATTAATAACTAGCTACTCACTGCAGTCTTTATATTATGTAAGGGCTGCTTAATGAGTAGTAAAGATATTACAGGATTCCGTTCCTTCCTCCATTACCATACATCTCCACTACATGAGTAGTTTGAGCAAAGAGAAGCAACAGACTATGTAATTAAGATTACCAGAACCTAAACATATCAGTGAAATAACTGCTTAGACAATCTGAACTACTCTAGTTTCTAACTTGCATTTGACTGGTAACATTAAGGAAAAAAAAAGGGAAGGAGAGGTTAACACACACAAACTGTAAAAAGGGTTGCCGTATTTTTTAAAAAAGGAATTTGGTTATTGAATTTTTACATTGTATAACCATAATTATCCTTACATTTGTTTCCCTTGATAATTCCACAAGTAAGGCTTAAAAGTTACAAACTGTTAGTTGTTTGTCACTACCCCACCTCCACCCTGCTAGATTTCTGCTTACTCCATAATTACGACATCAGAAAATTAACAAGTGGTAAGCTCATTTTGCATTGAGTCCCAAACCAAAATGGCATGTGAATCCAAATTAAGTTGAAAATATTACCGTTACAGTTGTAGAGACGTATTATGTAGCATTTACACTACTATAATAATAGATCAAAGATTGAAAGATCATTGGTAAACCATTCTTAACTTCAGTTTTATAGACAGCACTAAAGAAATGATCTCATTTTCTTCCAGAAAAGATGAAGCTGTACACACTGTACAAACACTAGACACCTGTATATAACTTAGGCCATGATCATAGTGACTCTGAAAGAATTTTCCTTGAAGGAAAATAGGTGTTCTCTGTTTCACTTCAAAATACAAACCTTTGTATTACTCTTTCCATGGGAGACTGGATAAAGATGGGGAGAAAGACAAGTGGCATAAATGAGGCACCATGACAAACAAATCACAGACTGGACTGATCACATCTGCATCACATCCTGCCCCTGAAAATATCCTAAAAGTACTTAAAACATTGAAGAGTTTCACGATCCGCTTCACAGAGTGAAAATAGCTCCAAAACAAACACACACACAATACATGTGATCACAAGGTCCAGAATACAGTAATACAACAGGAACTACCAAGGTTTAGAAAGGCTAAGGCTAACTTTTTTAATATATATATTTTTTTAATCATTAAGAATCTATGGCATGAGAAGAAATCATCAGAAGCTTTCCTCCACCAGAAGTGGCCTTTCATGCAGGTTTTACTACAGATGGTAGAGCTGCAAATAATGTACTTACAAACAGTAGTTAGGAAAATACTTAGAACAGTTGGCAGAAGTGCTTTAAAGATGAGAAGACTGACTGGTAAGAGCAATGTTTCAAGCATTAACTTTTACAATCAAAGTGTTTAAAAAAGAACAGTCTTCAAAGGTGATGAGCCACACTAGATTCCAG